GGCGTCATCACTATTCGAAATATGCTCTATTTGTTTGGACTTTCTCATATTTTATTGTATATAGGTGTTCTATGACTATTCGGTAAGACTTCAAGTCCTTTTAGAATAAGTAAATCCGAACAACAAAATGATGTGATAAAATCGAAATATGATAAATCCAAATTATCAGAGCATATTTTGATGAGAGATGGTGCACAAATGAACTGGGGCAACGCCAAAATTCTGATGACAGAACCCAACGGAAAGCATATAAAGTTGAATGAAATGTTAAATGTTGCCCAATCAGTTTCAATCACACTCGTAGTTGTCTCTAAAACTGAAATTTTTAGTATCTAGTATACTATGTTTGCAAAAACTGACTTTGAATTGACATATAGAATAGATCGTGTACCAAAGTCTTACTTTATTTACACAGTATATAATACATACTTTTATAATATTGACATTGAATTATAGGAAAAGCACTTTTCTCTATTCAGTTTGTCTTCCGAACATTCGTCATGGAATTGAATCAGATATCATTCACAGGATTTCTACAAAATATAGTAAATGAAATAGGTAAAAGTTTACTTACATCCTAACTGTCATCCTCACTGGTAGACATTCGATGCTTCGACTTGAGACACTTACCTTTTCGCCTCTTTAGCATCAAACCTGGATAACATTATAAAATATAAGAGCTTCATCTTAAAATGTTCACCAGTGAGAATGACAGTGTTCCCTGTAAGTAAAATTTCATCTCTTCCATTTTGGAATCCTGTGAATGATATCTGATTCAATTCCATGACGAATGTTTGAAATACAAACTGAATAGAAAAAAGTGCTTTTTGTATAATTCAGTGTTCATATGAAAGTATTTGTTTCGAAATCATGTTTCTTTCGTGTAATTCAATCTTTATATAAAAGTAGCTGTTTCGAAAGAGCTTTTCTTTCAGTTTGTGGCTGAAAGTTACTTCTTTGCATGATCTACACATTTTTCTATAGAGTTAAATGTTTGAAATTGATTGCTGCCTTCCTTTCCTTGAAAGATACTCACATTTTTGTATAAAGATGGAGAAGTAGAAAGCCAAAATCTTTCTTTCTCAAATATACAGTGTGGAAAAGCCAAATGGAATAAATTCATTATTTCGGCTACGGTACATATTTTAACAAAATCCTGAAACACGTCAAATTTAAATCATAATTTGACATACATCAACGGACAAAAAAAGCTACCTCTACCTTCAACCCCCGTC